TCTAATTTGAAATCCTCTTGCCTCAACATCCTGAGTGCCTGGATTATAGGTATGCACAGCTGTGCCTAGCTATAAAGCCTAAACCTTTGAGTTAGTAGTCTTCCTTTTTTAAACCCTCCTATTATTGTTTGATTCTAAAAACAGGAAAAATCTATGATGATAGAGGTCAGAATGGTGATTACTTTTGTGGAAGTATTTGAGTGAAGAAAGGGCATGAAGATTGCTGAGCTGCTTCTTTACAGTAGGTCGCTAGAGATGTCACTATAAAATCTGACAGCTGGTGACACTGCATAAACATTGCCTTTTGTAAGCATCATTTTGTACCTTAACAAGGCCTGGATCTATTTTTTAGGAGGGATTTCTATTTCCTTAATGTGACATGTTTTAGGCCCTATATTTAAGCTCTAAGGCATGTAACGATGAGCAAAACACATTTGCCTTTATGAAGCTTAGTGTTTAAGAGGGAGAGGGGCTGGGGATTTAGCTCAGTGGTTCCACTGCCTGCCTCGCAAGCTAAGGACCCAAGTTCGATCCCCAGCACCAAAAAAAAAAAAAAAAAAGAGGGAGAGATATATCCATATAATAAATATAAAATGAATGATGAGAAAGAAAGGTATGATAGAGCCATGAATATATAAAACAGAAGAAGCAGCTCTTGTTAGAAGTATTGGATATAGGAATAGTCATGGTTAGGGAAGTCTTATCTGGAGAAGTGAGTTGAAATTTAAAAGGTGAGTGTAGGAGTGAAATGGAGAAGGGAAATGAACAGATAAATGGTTCTGGAAAAGAAATATTATACACATAGTCTTTGAGGCCAAGTAGCTAAGTAGAAAGATCAGGGAGGTTGGTATGAGAGGACCCTGGAGTGGATGATGAATTTACTTTTTTATTTTATTTTTTCCAATACTGTGGATTGGGCTAAGGGTCTTTGCACTGAGCTGTTTCTGAATTCTTTATTTTGAGGGGGTTTTTTTTTGGGTACCGGGATGAAACTCAGGACCTTGCACTTTCGAGGCGTGCAGCAGAACCACTGAGCTAAATCCCCAGCCAGAATTCTTTATTTTCAAACTGAGTCTTACTAAGTTGCCCAGGCTGGATTTGAATTTGCAGTTGTCCTCTCTCAGCCTCTCAAGAGTGCTGGAATTGTAGGCATGTACCATCACACCCCAGCTTATTAAATTACTTTAAATACAATTATTGTATTAATGGTTTTCCCTTACCATTTTTTAGATTTAGCTGCATGGGGGGGGGTTAGCAGGGATCGAACTTGGGACCTTGTGCTTGCAAGGCAGGTGCCAGAACCACTGAGCTAAATCCCTGGCCCAACAGAGGAGTGTTTTAAGAAAATTAACCTTATACCTCACAAGCACAAGGTCCTAAGTTTGATCCCCAGTACCAAAAAAAAAAGAAAAAGAAAACCCTGAGGCCAGGTCCTAGGTTCAATACTGTCACCAAGGCCTTGCACCATGTCCTTGCTGTGTAGGTTTAATTGCACCAAGAATAATATAGTTGGGCAGGGGATTTAGCTCAGTGGTTTCGCCGCCTGCTGCGCAAGCACAAGGACCAGAGTTCGATTCCCGGTACCAAAAAATAAATAAATAAATAAAATAATATAGCTTTCTTGTGACTATTGCATTGTATTCTAGCATGTGGAATTTGTAGAGTGTTCCTCTCTGTTTTCAGTTATGTTTTAAGAGTTCAGCTAATTCTGCTTCGTAAGGTAATATATATGGAATTTAAAAACACAAGCTATCTTTTTAGTAAAATAACATGTAGATTTTATAGATGATTAATGTACTTTTTAAATATCAATTTTGAGTTAATTAACATTCAATAAAATACACCCACCTTAACTGTCAAGCCTAACACTGTATGCACCATGTAACCATTGCCACATCAAATTCCCTAAAAGCTTTTTTTTTTGAGGTATGATTTACATGCAGTTATCATCACTCTTTTTAGTATATAGGTTTTAGTTTTATTAAACTCTTACGTCAGGTAATAATCATTAAAATCAGGATGAAGAATTCAACATTTTTTTCATGCCTTTTATTGTCAAACCTCCATCCCCACAGAATTTTAAAAGTATCTGGTTGATGTCAGAAAGTGGACACTGCAAAAGTAATAGAATAATTACCTATTTTTTTTTAACAGTAGTTTACTTTTTTTTTTTTTTCCCGGTACCAGGGATCAGACTTGGGTCCTTGCGCTTGCACAGCAGGCGGCGAAACCACTGGGCTAAATCCCCAGCCCTTTTTTTTTTAAAGACAAGAGTCTCACTGTGTAGTTCCTACGGACCTTGAACTCTATGCATCCCAGGCTGGGTTTGAATTTGTGGTAATCCTCCTACCTCAGCCTCCCAAGTGCTGGGATTATAGGCGTGCACCTCTTTCATTTTTCTTAAATTATGTTGGTACAATATTTAAGTTATTCTTAAGTTTTCCATCATTTGTGCCAACTGTGCTTTGACTTTTACTCTTCTGTAGTTATTTTGTCCTCTATGGCTATTTTAGCATATCAGATAGTTCCTTACTACTGGTACATAAATGCCCACTCGGGGCCTCTAATCTGTAATTTTTAATTTAATCTTATTTTAAATAATAAACTCAGGGCCTTGAATGTGTTAGGCAAGTGTTTTATACTGAGCCACATCTCTAGCCTCCCTGTAGTTTTATCTAGCAGTTTCATGGCTTACTTCACTAAGAGGATAGAGACATCCTCACATCTTTCACTGAACTATCTTACTTCTGTATGTATGTGTTTTTTGTGATACTAGAGATTAAGTCTAGGACTTTTCAACTGAGCTGCATCCCCAGCTCTTTTTTATTTTTTTAGAGATAGAATCTTACTAAGTTGGCATGTTGCCCAGGCTGGGCTGGAACTTGTGATCTTCCTGCCTGGCCCTTCCAAAGTGCCAGGTTTACCAGATGTACACCACCATGCTTGGATTGATTGATTGAAGCAGGGTCTTGCTGTGTAGTTTAGGTTGGCCTTGAACTTTCTGTATAGCTAAGGCTAGAACTCAAAATCATCCTCGAGTCTCAGCCTTCTGAGTAGATGGGATTATTAGGTATGTGCTCCCACACCTACCTTTTCTTCTGTCGGTCTATATGTCTGTCTGTCTATCCACCTTTTGAGGGGGGTTGAGACAGGGTCTCCCCATATGTAATTTATACTGGCTTTAAAGGCTTTAAATTCACTATGTAGCCCAGGCTGGGCTTGAAGTGATAAGTGATGCGTCTACTTCACCCTCCCAAGTGCTGGAATTATAAGTGTGTGTCACAGCCCCCATCTTCTCTATTTTAGAAAAAACATAGTCCTTGCAAATTTACAAAACTCAACACTATATAGTTTCATTTCCAGTTATTACTTGTTCTTTAACATGTTCATGATGAGGCCATAATTCCTGTATGTCCCTGCTAGGCAGCTTGAACCACTGGTGGTACATGAGTAGTTGTTCATCAGCAGCTTGTTATTAATTAGTATAAACACCATTAAAAGTGATTAGTTTTTTTGTACTATCAGTGGTAAAGCCACCTAATGGGACAGTCATATGTGTACCACTGATGGTTCAAGCCAGTGGGGATATGTTAATGTCCTCTATTCTGGGTGTTTCTTTGAAACTCTCCCCGTTATAAAAATACCTAGATTGTCACCATCATTTTTGGATTTTTTTTTTTCTTTGCAGTATGGGGATTGAACCCAAGGCTTCAGGCATGCTAGACCAGCAGTCTACCACTGAGCTACCTCCCCAGCTCTTCCACTGTCATTTAAAAAAAAAAAAAGCCAGGCATGTGGTACACAACTGTAATTTCAGCACGTGAGAGGCTGAGACAGGAGGATTGCTTTGAGTTCAAGGGCAGCTTGAACTGCATAGTGAGACCCTGTCTCAAAAAATGGGGGACAAACACATGCTCTTCATTGATCTCCTATTGTCCTATAACTACTAATTTTGTTCTTTTCACTAGTAAATTTGAGTAAGGGATCAATATTGTTTCCCTGTTCCCTCCATTTGTTCTCTGTAGCCCTTTATAATCTTGATTTTGCATATATCACACCACAGAAACTGGGCTATGAAAAGTTATGAATGGCTCCAATCAACAAATAAATGTGTTCTCTTTTGCAACTTAAAGGTACTGCAAAAGCCTGTATATTCTATCCCATCCTAATAGTTTTTCCATATTAGTAGCTGTTTTTCAAACAAAAGGATGACTAGTTAATGCTTCCTTTTCTATAGCTTTGAAGGCCAAAAGTGAAAATGATGTGTTGAAAGAGTAAATTACAGATCTTTAGCAGATTTGTAATTGTATTTCATTCTTAATTGAAGTGTAAAGTAATGGTTCTGTATCAATTGATAGGGTTGAATTTCCATTGCTTTAAAATATTCAAACACAAGCCAGGGCTTGGCCGTGGGTCTCAGCTACTCACAAGGCTGAGGCCGAAGGATCACAAGTTCAAGGCCAGGCTGGACAATTTATTGAGACCCTATCTCAACAGAAATACAAGGGCCGGGCATGATGGTGCATACCTGTAATCCAAGCACTGAGGAGGCTGAGGCAGGAGGATCACTGAGTTTTAGGCCAGCCTGAACTACATAGGGAGACCCTGTTTCAAAACAAAATTCAAACACCTATGTGTGCATTCAGCTATCCGTATCAGAATTTCCTTTTATGAAGTGAGAAGGGAACCTTTCATTTTTTATAGGTGGGGGCTAAAGCACAGCAAATTATCTGACCTCTTTTTCTACCTTCTTTGGCACTTTTGCTTATTTTTGTGAATTATAGAGTATTGGTTGTTTATACTTGTGGGTATATAAACATAGTATTTTGGTTGTTAATGCTTTAGAAGAAAGCATAGTTATGGGCCTGAGTAGAAATACAAATGAAAAAACCAAATATTTATGAATAGCTTCAATAGCTTTGATGCTAATGTTTTTTGTTTGTTTAGGCTATTTTTATTATGGAGCCTTAAAGTGATAAATTTTTATTTGTTTTATTTAGCTTGTCAGCTCACTTGCAGCTTACATTTACTGGTTTCTTCCACAAAAACGGTACGTATGTTAAAGTAAACATTTTTACATTTTAACAGCAAAATACCACTGAGTGTACAAGAAGTATACTTAAGGTGTAAATTCATAAAATCATAATTAAAGGTAAATATGTTGATTTCTTATTTTTCTTTGTTCATTTTTCTTTTTTTCTTTTTTTTTTTTTAAACTGTATTTTGTTTGTATTTTTTTATGGAGCTGGGCATCAAACCCAGGGTTTTGTACAACCTAGGCAAGCATTTTTCCACCACCCACTCCAGCTCTTTTGATTATGTTTTTGAAATTTAAGTTATAAAGGCTAATGATAAAATTCTTTAAGTGCCACAGAGCTGGGATAGGTGAAGATTATCCTCAGTATGATCCGTTCTGTATAAACATTTTCAGTTAATGTTATTGCATCCTTTTTTAAAACAGCAATGAAACAACTGAAATAATCACTGCTATCAATAGATTATTATCAGTATGTTAGGTATTATATCGGGAATGATATATTTTACATTAGAAAAAGTTATTGTTTTAAAAATGGATAAAATACCTATGAGCTTATCCATTTTCAATTTGTGTCCTCTAATTATGGAATGGAATAAAACCTTTATTAGGAAGATTCTAGGTTGGTCCTCTTTGATATTATTCAATAAAAAACAAAATTTAAGTAGCTGGAGGTGCAGCTCAGTGATGGGAATGCTGCTTGCCTAGCACAGGAAACTCGCTGAGTTCAGTCTACAGCACTACAAGCAAAACAAAAATTTAATAATATAATGGTAGTAGGCAGTTTAATAATTGGTTCTGTTTTCTATGGAAAAGATTAAAAATCTGGTTTAGGTTATACCTTATATCTAGCCCATTTTTTTATATAGAAGTAAATATAGAAGTAACCCGAATAACATTTTGTATTTCCCTCTACATTATTTAAAATTGTCTGCTGGAATCCTTATTTTAAATTGTCCATATTGGTTTTCTGTAGTACTTTAAAGCACATGGACTGTAATACTTTTGAAGCTTATACTTTGACTTTTGTTGATACTGGACTTCACACTGAGCTGCATCCCCATCCCTTCTTCTTTATTTTAAGGCAGGGTCTTGCTAAGTTTCTCAGGCACTCAAAATCCTCCTGTTTTGGCCTCCCTAGTACTACCACACCTAGCTATAATTTGACTTTTTCTGTGTGTGTGTGTGTGTGTGTGTGTGTGTGTGGTATTGGAAATTGAGACCAAGGCCTTTGTACTGAGGTACATCTCGTCTTGGTTGAACTCTGTACCTTGCACTTGTGAGGCAGGCAGCGGCACCACTGAGCTAAATCCCAGGCCCTGATTTTTTTTTTTTTAAATTGTGAGACAGGGTCTTGTTAAATTCCCTTCATGAGACCCAGATTTGCCATCCTCCTGCTTCACAGAGTGGTGGGATTTTAGGGGAGTGCCTCCATACCCAGTTTATAATTTGAATTATATAGGTTCATTAGCTCTTTGTTTCCAGGGACTTTAAAACATACAAGAAATACCAGGCATGGTGGCATGTGCCAGCACTTGGAAGGCTGAAGCAGGAGGATTGCCAAGAGCTTGAGGCCAGTTTGGTCTACATGAGTTCAAGGGCAGCCCGAAGTACATAGTGAGACCCTGTCTGGAAAGCAAGAAACCAAAAAAACAGAAATTGTGTTTTGGGAAGCAGTTTGATTTGATTCTTTCTGCATGAAAAAAAAAGTGTATAAAGTTTAAAAATTGCTCAAATTCACTTTGTTTTTATTTGTTCCTTCATGTTAAAGTAAATGAGAAAGTAAATTCTGTTAATAGGTCCATTTCCTGAAAGTAATTTTCCATTTTAACTTTCAAATGACTGGAAGTTAGGAAGAAGCATATGTATGTATTGCCTCTTGTTTGTTTAAGGTATATTTGTATTTTTTTTAAAAAACATAAGGAAATAATATATATTTTTTTGGTACTGGGGATCGAACTCGGGTCCTTCCACTTGCAAGGCAGGTGGCGGAACCACTGAGCTAAATCCCCGGCCCCAGGAAATAATATTTTTAAGAAACAAGGATAGAAATCCATCATGAAGATCCCTATAATTAAGTCAGGGCGTAGCAGTGCCCACTTGTAATCCCAGCACTGGGGAAGCTATTGAACTAGGATTTTGAGCAAGACCAGGCTGAGCTACATAGCAAGACCCTGTTTCAGAAACACAAAACATGAAAAAGAGATCCCTAAACGTGGGATTTTTTTTTTTTTTATGAAGACTAATGATTAGTACTTGAAGGAGCTTAAAGTGAATATATAGATTATACAGGGTACTATTTTCATGCTGAATATTTTTCTGAATATTTTTGTTCTTGTTTTTTGAGACAAGGTCTCACTATGTAGTTCAGGCTAGCTTTGAACTCACTTAAGTATCCCAGGGTGGCCTCGAACTTGAACTCAAGACAGTTCTCCTGTCTCAGCTCCCAACTGCTAGGATTCCAGGTGTGTACCACCACACCCGGCTGTTAATTCATTTTAACATTGGTTATTTATTTATTTTTATCCTGCTTACAACTTCCAAAGAGACTAATTCAGACATGTTTACACATATATCCTGCATAAGATTGTTTTTTCCTTTCAGTATGGGGCATTGAATCCAGGGATTTCACACTGAGCTGTATTATCCCCTTTTTGTTTATTTATTTTTTTGGTTTTTTGAGACAAGGTCTCATGTAGTTCAGGCTGCCCTTGAAGCACTATGTAGCCCAGGCTGGCCTGGAACTTGAACTCCAGACAATTTTCCTGCCTCAGCCTCCTGAGTGTAGAATTAATAGGCATGTGCCACCATTCCTGGCTTTTGTTTTTGTTTTTGTTTTGAGACAAGTTCTTACTAAGTTGCTTGGACTCGGTTTTCAGGTTCAAACCTATTCTGGGCAACTTAGCGACTTATTGAGACTTTGTCTGAAAATAAAAAGTAAAAATGCTTTGGAAAATTTAATTACATCAGTGGGAAGGCACTTGATTCTGTTCCCAGTACTAGAGAGTGAGGGGACTGTGAAGAAAACTTACTTTGTTTTGTATATGTTGATAGATTAAGTATTAAATATTTAGGATTGAACTATTTACTCCTTTGGGACTTAAACACAGGTAAATTGCAGAGGAGTACTCTGGAACCTTAATTTGTGAAGCTGTTGTTAATTTATTGATATGGAAAATACAGGCTGGGGTATGTAGACTAAAATCTCTAAATTTTTTATAAGGGAAAGTATTCCCCTACATATTAAATAATATCTGGATTTTTCCTATCCCATTGAGACTTTAGAGAAATTCTGGAGAAAGGGCCAAAAAATAGCTTTTTTCCCCTTTTATAATATTTAGTATTTTTTGAAATCCATTTTAATCTCTTTGGTCACAAGTTGTGGTCAAATCAGAAACTTCTTAATTTAGTATCTCTTGACATTCATAATTAACCATGTATACTAGTGACTAATTTAACTTTATGTTAAATTTTCTAATAGATCTAAGAAGAAGGAATACAAATGAAAGATACTATTTTGTGCATGATTGCCTTTCCTGGACTGTATCATTCTTGCCTCCTTCCAAGAAGCTGTAATTATTTATCAACATTATTTGGTTTGGAGTTTTTTAGGGGGCAGCAGGCAAGTGTCCAGGGCAAGTGCTCCTCCATTGAGATTTATCTTCAGGCTTCAAAATTATTTTGAATAGCAGCTTATTTTTTTACTATCATAAGTATTAAATCTTCAAATCAAAAATAATAAGTGTTATGAATATAAATTGAGCCACCTTATTTAGATCAAAATATTAGGTTATGAAAAGGTAATTTGGTTTGTGAAAGTTAGTTTAAATTACTATATAAAAGGGCCAGGGATTTAGCTCAGTGGTGTTGCCACCTACCTGTCAAGCAGAAGGTTCTGAGTTCGATATCCAGTACCCCAAAAAAAGCAAAAAAAATTACTATATAAAAAGGCTTTGGGGCTGGGGATTTAGCTCAGTGGCACCACACCTGCCTTGCAAGCTCAAGGTCCTGAGTTCGATCTCTGGTACCAAAAAAAAGGCTTTTAAAGAATTTGCTGTAAGTTAGGAAGAGATGTAGGGAAAGAAATGAATAATCTTCTGGTAAGTTTTTATTGTTTGAAATCTCCAGACTTACTAGAAAAACAAGTAATGTGTTTATAGTTTGTAAAATAAACTTTTTAAGATACTGATTTTCTATTTAGATAAGCCATCACAAAACTCAGAAAATGAACAAAATTCTGTTACCCTGGAAGTCCTGCTTGTCAAAGTTTGCCACAAAAAAAGAAAGGTAATGTATAAAATGATGCTGGTAGATGAGGTGGAATAATTTTCTGCATTTAACATGTTGATGCATATATATTGGATTTTAAAGCCCTTTATATTGTTATTATACTGTGGACTGAACCCAGGGCCTTTACACTGAGTAACATCCCTATCCCCTTTTTAAATTTTTATTTTGAGATGGGCTTGCTAAATTCCTCAGCTGTACCTGAACTTTCCATATTCCTCCTGTTGTAGCTTCTCAGAGTGGTGGGATTATAGGTGTATGGCATTACACTCAGTTTATAGTTTGTCTTTTATAGGTTCCTTAGTCCTTTCCCTCTGAATAACTAAATTGCCAAGGCTGGGCTTCAACTTGCTATCCTTCTGCCTCAGCCTCTCAGAGTGCTAAGGTTATAGGAATGTGCCACCACCCCTGACCAATTAAAGTTTTTTGTTTTGTTTTGTTTTTGAGGGAGAGTCTTACTATTAGCCCAGGCTGGCCTTGAATGCCTCCTGCCTTAGCCTCGGAAATGCTGGAAAGGCATTTCCAGTTGAAAGGCAATTTTTAAACCTTAATAACTTAGCAGATATGTCCATGTCTGAATTTTTTTTCCATTAAGTTTATTAGTAGCTTAAGCAGAGCGGTGTAGCGGAAGCGTGGTGGGCCCATAACCTAGAAGTTTATTGATATATTTTAGGTATACAATACAATCACATTCATCATTGGGATCTTATACCTTTACATGATGTATCTTGGTTCTTATTTTTTCCCCATTCCCCTGCCCTCCCTTCACCCCTACCAACTTTTCCCGATTTACAAAGACTGTTTCCATTTTTTCCTTTTCTCATATTTTTTCTTTCCCTTCTTTCCTTTCCCCTACTCCTCCCACTTCACCTACTTCTTTAGACCTTTACTTCCTATTTCACATTATCAGTTATACCTTTTTTTTTTTGTACCGGGGATTGAACTCGGGTCTTTGTGCCTGCACAGCAGGCGGCGAAACCACTGAGCTAAATCCCCGGCCTCAATCAGTTACACATTTTGATCCTTATTTACACTTTTAGTTTTTCACACCAGAGAAACTATTCAGTATTTACACCTACACCTGTGTGTCCTATTTATTTTATTTAAGAGTATGGCCTCAGTATGCATCCATTTAGCTATAAATGTCTCTAGTTTCTCGTTCTTTATGAATGAGTAGTACTCCATTTGGTAAAAAAAAAAACACCACATCTTCTTTATCCAATCTCCAGTTGATGGGCAATTGGGCTGTTTGGAAGTTTTAGCTATTACAAACTGTGCCACTATAAACATAGGTCCACGTATATTGCTGTGGTATGATTCTTTTAATTCTTTTGGGAAGATAACCCAACAGGGGAGTAGCTGGTTCAAACGGGACCTCCAATCCTAGTTGTTTGAGGTTATCTTCATATTGATTTCCACAGTGGTTGCACCAGTCTGCACTCCCAGCAACAGTAGAGAAGGATTCCTTTCTCCCCACACCCCCACCAACATTTGTTATTGGTTGATTTCTTGATAGCAGCCATTCCTTCTGGGGTGAGGTGGAATCTCAGTGTTGTTTTCATCTGCATCTGTCGAATGACCAGGGATGTTGAACATTTTTTCATATGTTTATTTGGTGCTTTTACTTCTTTGTCTGAGAAATATCTGTTCATTTCATATGCCCATTTTTGAATTGGGTCTTTGAATTAGGGGGGTCTGATTTTTTTGAGTTCTTTATATATTCTAGACAGTAGACCTTTGTTTGAGGAATAGCTGGTAAAAACTTTTTCCCACATTGTAGGTTGTCTTTTAGCTCTGTTGGTGGTTTCTCTTGCAGTGCAGAAGCTTTTTAATAAGATGAGATCTCAGTTGTTGATTCTTTATGCTAGTTACTGTGCTACTGAGGATTTGTTCATAAAGTCTTTTCCTATGCCAATTTCTTCAGGAGTTCTACCTGACTTCTCTTCCAGCAAGTTCATGGCTGAATTTTAACACTAACCTCTTGTCAACCTTCCCTATGTTTGTATTTTTTCCTAGTCTGACTAGATGTCTATAAAACTTTGTTTATTGGAGTCTGAAAATGAAGGAAATAAAGTTTTGTTACTATTTTATGACATGAATTCAGTTCCTTTTCTGTCATCTCAGTCAGCTTATTCCTTAGGTCAGTGGTGAACCTATGGCATCCATGCTGCAGCGGGCTGTTTCTTTATTTTTTGGTACCGGGGATCAAACTCAGGACCTTGGGCTTACAAGGCAGGCGCCGTGCTGCTGAGCTAAATTTCCCAGCCCTTGCATCAGGCTGTTTGTATCATTGAAAGCTCTAAAAGGTTTGCCATCATGGCCTTAGGTACTAGTACCCATTCAAATTGTAGATAAGGGGTAAAAGAGTTTTCCCAAAAGAATTAACTCTTTTAATATTACTCTCAGGCAAAAAAAATTGTGTTTTCAGTATTATCAGCCATTAAGTTATTAATTCATTGCTTCAAATTTTTATTTAGAAGATGAAATCATTTCACCATAGAAACAAGTGTCATAATGGTTGTTTCCTGGGCAACCCACCAAAACCAACAGATGTAGTTTACGTAGCCTCAAATCCTTGAATCTTTTAAAAAGAGCAAGAACTGACCTATATTGATGTTCCTACTGTTGATCTTTTTCCAACATCACATTAAAATGATAATGGGCTTGGAAACTGCTAGAGCATTGGTAGGGAATGGACTAAAGTGATAGAAGGCAGCAGGGTAACTACATTTTAAAGTTATTGTGAGCTGGGCGTTCTTGCACATGCCTGCAATCTCAGCACTTCAGAGGCTGAAGCAGAGGATTTTGAGTTTGAGGCCAGCTTGGGCTACACAAGCTCAGCTTAAACTACTTAGTGAGACCCTGTCTCAGTCATTACATTCATACATACATACATACATAAATAGAAAAATAAGCTATTGTAAAGTTATGAAATACTGCTCTGCTCCTCACCCCCACCCACTCCTAATCCCCATACAATTCATGACAAAGAGTGAGGTGAAAATTCTTCAAGAGATCTTAGAGAAAAAAAAATGAATATGAACATAAGATCCTTCTTTGTGTTTCAAAAACAAAAAAGAGCAGGCATTAGTGGTATAGTGGTGAGCATAGCTGCCTTCCAAAAACAAAAAAGTAAATGTTTTCATGGAAGGATATACACAGCCCCAACTCCTACTATTATTGTGTGTGTGTAAGTGTTCAGAAGTGAGATTTATATTTTACATTTTGTACTGTCTTGTCTTGAGTTGAATTTTTGAGATCATAAGTGTACATTTAAAAAGGAACATGTGATACTCTCTTGTCATGAAGGCCCTCTGCATCTTTGTTTTTCTGCCATGCACTTACAGCATAACTAGTTATATAACAAAACTATCCAAAAGGTGATCAGTATCCCTCTTAACAGATTTAAATATATGGGTTTACTGTGTCATAACGTTGATCGTGGAGTTATAAAAAATCTTTCATTTCTAATGTTCCTCTATCACTTACTGTTTTAAAACTAGAAAATTGAAGGGAAATGTTCAAATAAGATGAATTGAATATTTTAGGAAAGATAATTTTGTGTGTGTGTGGTAATGGGGAATAAACCCAGGGCCTTGTGCATTGCTAGGCAAGCACTCTACCCACTGAGTTATATTGCCAGCCTTTGAGAATGTTTGATTCCTTTTTTTAAATTCTTGTTAGTGCTGGGGATTTTACCCAGGTCACGTGTAAGGTAGGAAGCACTGTACCACTGAACTACAGAAGCCTGTGATTCCATGTTTCTAATATAAAACTTTCAAATAAACAGCCAAATATTAAATATATTGTATTATTATTTTCAGTATGTTTTTCATTTAATTTGATTGTTAGGATATAGTCATTCCGTATTTTCATTTTTGCTTAACAATAATCAGAACTCTGATTTTTTTTTTGTGTGTGTGTGTGTGTGTGGTGTTTTTGGGATTGAACCAGGGCCTTTGTGCTGAGCTATATTATCCCTAGCCCCCTTTTTTTTTTTTTTTGGTACTGGGGATTGAATTCGGGTCAGGTCCTTGTGCTTTCAAGGCAGGCGGCCCTTTTTTTATTTTTTAAGTCAGGACCTTGCTAAGTTGCCCAGGCTGGGCTTCAATTTGGGATTCTCCTGCCACAGCTCCCCAGAGTTCTGGGATTACAGGTGTTGCTTCATCATGTCCAGGTCACCCTGGCTCAGAACTATGATTGTTATATGATTTGATAATCATGACCTATACTGTGTTTCTGTATAGCTGGGATGAAGAGTGTTATTATAATTATTATTTCTTACATGTAAATGTAATTTAATAATCTTTACCTTTGCAGGATGTAAGTTGTCCAATAAGGCAAGTTCCCACAGGTAAAAAGCAGGTGCCTTTGAATCCCGACCTCAATCAAACAAAACCTGGAAATTTCCCGTCCCTTGCAGTTTCCAGTAATGAATTTGAGCCTAGTAACAGCCATATGGTGAAGTCTTACTCATTGCTGTTTAGAGTGACTCGTCCGGGAAGAAGAGAATTTAATGGAATGATTAATGGAGAAACCAATGAAAATATTGGTAATTTTTTTTTTTCTGGTACCGGGAATGGAACTCAGGACCTTGTGCTTGCCAGGCAGGCATGGCTCGACTGAGCTAAATCCCTGGCCCTTGGTAATTTTTCTTTCAGTAATTTTACTAGATTTTATTTATCATTGGAGATTGAGGTAGTCAATGAAAATGATTGAACCAGTGTTGCTTCATAGTAGTGTATAAAGTATTTCTTTTTGACTTATTTTAAAATGTTGCCTTTCCAAAGTCCATCTGACTTAATATGTTAACAGACAATGAATTCATTCTCTCCTTCAACTTTTTCTTTGTTGTTATTTATTTGTTTGTTTATTTATTTATTTATTTATTTATTTATTTGTGAGTCTGGGTCTCACTGTTTCACAGATTGGCTTCTTAACTCCTGAACTCGTGATCCTTCTGCCTCAGCCTTCTGAAGTGCTGAGACTAGGTGCTCTCTGCCACTCCTGGCTTCCATTCTTTTATCATGAAAAGTTTCAAATGTAAACAATTGAAAATTTTATAGAAAACACCTATCTACTCAGCACTTACAATGAATTGTGTTGCTTGCTTGGGTTTTTTTGGTACTGTACTGGGGATGGAACTCCGCACCTTGCCCTTGCGAGGCAGGCAGTGGAACCACTGAGCTAAATCCCCGGGCCACCCCACCCCCCCTTTTTTTTTGAGATTGGTCATTGCTGTGTCCCCCAGGCATATCTCCTAACTCTTGGGCCCAGGTGATCCTCTTCTCTCAGCCTCTTAGGTGTTGGGATCACAGGTTCACCTGACTCAATCCAGCTTGAACATGAACATCTTCTTATACCTATCACATATTGATCCCCCCTTACCCATCCCCATATTCTTCCAACAATTCTGAACTTATCTGTGAGGTAATCATTCAACTAACATATGTGGCAGAGATACAGGGATGATTAAATCATCCAGTCCTGCTCTCCAAAGGCTCATTACCTAGGGAGATAGACATGAAATAATTGTAATAAAATGATGAATGCTATAATAGATATATAGGTGAAGTTCAGTGGAGAATCATTTTAGAAGTTCATCTTTTGAGTTTTTAAGTATTCTTTGAAGTTTTTAAAAAGGAATGGTAGGTAAGGAATTTCCCTTGCAAAGATCATTCCAAATAAAAATCAGGATTTGCCAAAATGTAGGGTTAGTAATAATGAGTGTCAGAGAAGAAAGGACATACACATGCACCAAAAAGACGAAATTGGAACAAGTATTGTCCAAACATTATATTGTAGTTTCATTGTAATTTGTATCTTATTTAGTATAAAAGTATCATGTTTTATGTTAAGGGACCATATATCATAATTAGCACATTTTTGTTTGAATATTTGATTTATAAGAAATATTTGTTAAATTCAGATGTCAATGAAGAACTTCCAGCCAGAAGAAAACGAAATCGTGAAGATGGGGAAAAGACATTTGTTGCACAAATGACAGTATTTGATAAAAACAGGTAATATTGATGGACAAATAAGACAATGTTCCAGAAATGTTTTCATTCTGAAGTGGAATATAATGGTGATATTGATTGTTTCCTTGTGGGGGGTTTTTTATTGTTGGGAATGGGGGCAATTTTGCAAATACTGAATTTTTTATTTTCATATAGAAAGCAAAAGGACAGATAAGGAACTACTTGATGACTCAGATTTGGCAAGTTCATATTCTGAGTGTCTGCTCTTTGTCAGACACTGTTGTGGGCAGTAGTAAGGCAACAAAGTCCCTGCCTTCATGGAACTTAAATTTTAATGTAGAATATATACCATTCCACAAAAATACCAACTAATGTCACTTAGTGGTGAGTGCTCTGAAGAAAAATAAAAGAGAATAAATGGTTACTGTTTATAGAGAAAGCCTCTGGGAAGAGGTAATATTTGAACAGAGACTGAATGACATGGGCCCTGTGCAAATCTTAGGGTTATGTGTTTATTAAAGTTAAGAAAATTATATATAATTATCATCATCATCTGGCTATATGCGCATTTGGCACAGGGAGAGAAGGAATACCAGTGCTCAAAGTCATCTCTGCAATTTCTGTTTGGGAATGAAATGCCTTAGCACCCGTAAAGGAAGATCTAGGAAACAAATGGCAATGTTCTTTTATTCCACAGAATTGAAGGATGAAACCTGTTACGAGTCATGATTTCTTTATTTTATTTATTTATTTTTTGGTACGGGGGATCGAACTCGGTTCCTTGCACTTGTGCAGCAGACAGCGAAACCACTGAGCTAAATCCCTGGCCCCCAATTGCTGCTGGTTTTTAGCAGTTCACAGTCATGTATAAGAACCAAGAAAAGTAACTGGGCCATTCCTCCAGTTTTAAAATATGTACTAGATTGGTGCTGTAATGTAAATAGCCAGGTGGAAGAGATGGAAAGCTCTTAATAAAAAGATGATTAAAGGGGTGGGGATTTAGCTCAGTGGTTTCGCCGCCTGCCTCGCAGGCACAAAGACCCGAGTTCGATCCCCGGTACCAAAAAAACCAAAAAAAAAAGATGGTTAAAAATAATGAGATAGACTTTCAACTATTATCTTGTTTTGGAATATGTAACCTAATGTCACTTGGTAGTAATAGAAATCAGTGCAGCATTTTTTGTTTTTTCTCAGAAAGGGGGATTGAACTCAGGACCTTGTGCTTGTGAGGCAGGTGCGGTGCCACTGAGCTAAATTCCCAGCCCCCATACAACTATTTTTAAAATCAGAAATTTGAATATAGATCAACAATTTAAATAGAAAAAAACAGGAATATACAAAAAAAAAGAATACATGGGGGCCAGGGATTTAGCACAGTGGCACCATGCATGCCTCGTAATCACAAGGTCCTGAGTTTCATCCCCAGTACCAAAAAAACCAGGGATATAAATGAATTAGAAGATTCTGTTTTCATCTGTGTCCAAGGAAATAGGTTGAGGCATACTGGGGTTCATTTCTGTTGGCAAATGTTCTATTTTAGGGAATGAGAGAGGGTATATATTTTATTTTCTTTTTTATTATTTCTCCCTGGCCCACGTTTTGTGTATGTTGAACCATTTGAAAGATTACTTCATAGCTCATTGCTCCCTTACACGTAAGCATGTATCTTCAAAGAACAAGGATATTTTCCTGCATAATCACAATATACCTATCATATTGTACTTATGAAAAGGGCCGAGGATTTAGCTCAGGGGTGCCGCCGCCTGCCTCACAAGTGCAAGGTCCCAAGTTTGATCCCTGGTACCAAAAAAAAACCCAGCCAAACTATACTTAGGAAAATTAACATACAACAAACATAATCTCCCCATTTTACCCCAATATCTTTTATATTTTGTGGCCCTCCTCCCCCAGTAGTTGTCCTGTTTGTCCATTCTCCTTCAATTGGAACAATTCTCTAACCTTTTTTGGGTTTTGTTTTGTTTTTGGGCTATGGGAATTGATCCCAGGGCCTTCACACTCAGCTGCATCTCTAGCCCTTTGTGAAAAAATTTTTATTTTGAGACAGTCTAGCTAAGTTACCCAGGCTTGGACTTGTAATCTTCCTGCCTCAGCTTCCCCTAGGACTTGAATTACAGTTTTATAGCCCTTGTGCCTGGCATGGTTTCGTTTTGTTTTATTTATTTTTTTAAATTTTTGTTTATTTATTTAGTTAGTTATTTGGTACTGGGGATTGAAATCCGGACCTTGTGCTTGCAAGGCAGGTGCGACTGAGCTAAATCCCCGGCCCTGTTTTGTTTTGAAAAGGTTATGTTAGCCAGGCTGAGCTCAAACTCCTGGACTCAAGTGATTGTCTTGCCTCTACCTCCAAAGTAGCTAGGACAGGGCCAGGGATTTAGCTCAGTGGCACTGTGCCTGCTTCAAAAGCTCAAGGTCCCAAGTTTGATCCCCGGTACCAAAAAAAACCCCAGTGTAGCTAGGACTGTAGGCGTCTGCCACTAAAACCTGCTGTATCTTTTTTTTTTTTTGATACTGGGGTTTGAACTCAGGACCTTAGGCTTGGGAGGCAGGCACCGGAACCACTGAGCTAAATCCCCGGCTTATGCTGTAGTTTTTTAAAGTACAGTCGTGCATTTGCAAATTGTATCTCTGTATGGACTTTTCCTTTTACTTCCTCATGATTAGATTCAGTTTAAACATTCTGGGTTTTTTGGGGGTTCCTGGGGATCAAACTCAGGACCTTTCGCTTGCAAGGCAGGCAGCAGAACCACTGAGCTAAATCCCCGGCCCAGTTTAAACATTTTTGACAGATGCTAATTAGTGATGTGTTCTTTGTGTGCTACATCAGAGACCCAAAGGTAATACTAGATTTGGTCATTTGGTTAAGGTGGTGTGCACTGCCTTATTTTAACAGTACTTTTCCCATTTCATTAACTATTATATTTAATTCCTGGGGTGATACATGAACCTGATGAATATCCTTTTACACCTGCTCCCCCAGTATCTTTTCACCCAGTTGTTTCAGCAACCATTAATATCCATTGATGATTCTAATTTTTTTACCATGTGGGTTAGTAACTTCTATTTTTACTCAACTTGTTTTAATTTAATCATGTTAGTGCATTTTAATCCTCAGATCATCCTAAATTTAGTCAAGAGGAGCCCTTTCAAACAGGCTCTTTTGTCTTAACTTTTTTCCTCCGATTTTTTCCTTGTTGTCTGGAAATAATAAGATAGCCTAGACTTACCTTCTCCTTTTCATACCTCTGTTCTGGGATTATTATTTCTTCTTCCTCCTCTTCCTCTTCTTCTTTTTTTTTTTTTGAGATAGGGTCTATGTAGTTCAGGCTGGCCTTGAACTATGTAGCCCCAGGCTGGCCTCAAATTTGCAGCAATCTTCCTGCCTCAGCCTGCCAAGTGCTGGGGTTACAAGCGTGCACCACCATGCTCAGTTTGGGATTTCTTCCAGGAGTCCTCATGTTGTTTTAGTGACGGAGTATTATTTATAAGCCATGATTTAAGTGTTTGATTTGTAAAATTATTTGTAAAATCTCTGAGAAGTTAAACTGTTCTAAAAGAATGAACAAAATTCAAAAGCAATAAAGTATGAAATATTCAGCAAAATAAAAATCAAAAACTTCTTCAAAAAACAAAAAGCCATTCTAGCCAAAGTGAAAATTAAAATGACAGCTGGGCATGGTGGCACACATCTCAAAACCCAGCTGCCAGGAAGCTGAGGTGCAAGGACCACTTGAGTCCAGGAGTTCAAGACCAGAGAGGCCAGGTCGCCAACAGAATGAGTACTTGTCTCAAAGAGGGAGGGGAGGCAAATTGGGAAATTATTTTCAACTCATACTTAGAGATCTTATTCCCCTAATATCAAAAGATAATAAAATTAAAAAAGAACATAGACTACTAGGCACAGTGGCACACACTTGTATTCCTGATTACTTGAGAGTGAGGTGGGAGCATTGTAAGGTGAAAGCAGCCTGGGCAACTTAGAGTCCCTGTCTTGAAAAAGAAAAGGGTGGGGACATAGCTCAGTGGAAGAGCACTTGCTTGTCATGCACGAAGCCCTGGGTTCAATCCCAGGTAACACTAAGAAAAAGGTTGAAAAGTTAGCCCAAGAGAATAAACGATGCAATAAAAAATTTACAGAAAAAAATGTATGTGGTTCTTGAACAGTTAGAAAGATGAGCTATCTGAATTTAAAATACACTGAGATGTCATTTTTTCACTTATCAGATTGACAGATCAAAAAACATGATAAAGCACTGTTCATGAGGCTGTGGGGGCCAAGGCCTCCTCATACATTACAGGTAGAGTGCATGGGATTGTAGCTATGGAATGTACAACAATAAAATGAAACATGTAGCCACACAAAAGCACAAGGGAAGCAACTTAACTGGAAGTATATGGCTGTATTGCCTACTCCGATGAATGAAGACAATTAGTTTTTTAAAGAAAATTGAATTACCTTACTGATACTCTATGGAAGCAGACTAAACCCCAAATAGTACTGGATAGAGAAAAGGTAAAAATTCTTAAGTGTCAAAACTCTTTGGTTAGAGTTTAGGTAATACTTGGATTTATTTACAATATCTGGCTACTTAACTGTGTGATCCTAAGGCAACTTAATGTTTCTGTGCCTTGGTTTCCTCTTCTGGAAATGGAGTAGCAGCACATAGATCATAAAGGTGTTGGAAAGATTAAATAAACCACATAAGGTGTGCCTGGCAGACAGTAAGCACTCAATAAATTTTAGCTATGATAACCCAATAGAATTTTTTTCTTTCTTTATTTTTTCCACGGTGCTGGGCAAGCACTACCACTGAGCTACCTCTCCAGCTCAGAGGGGCCAGATTCTTACTATGAATAATGATGAATAGTATGGTAGAAGAATAGCACTTAGAATAGTAGTGGCTGGTGGGTGTTTAAAGGTATGGAAACAGTATATAAACTATACATGTACTTCACATGTATATATACAAAGCCATTTAAATATTATTTAACAGATTCTTTAATTCAACCAGTATTTCATCCATTCATCCTTGAAGTATTTATTGAGCACCTATATGTGCCAGGTGCCTGCAGGTTTCTACAGTTACCAGATTCATCTTTATAATCATTCATTTACTGGGCCAGTATAAAAGGAAAACATTCTAGTTCAAACATTTATAGTAGTTAAAAATTACAAGTATAATTCTTGGGCTGGGGATTTAGCTCAGTGGTGCCATTGCCTGCCCCACAACCGCAAGGACCCGAATTCGATCCCCAGTACCAAAAAAAAAAAAACCAAGTATAATTCTTAGTGATTGCTCAAGGCAAATATTGTAACACTAGTCTCCTATATTCAAAACTATAAAGCCTACACACATCCTTTATACTTACATGTTTAAATTCGAAAGGTTTTGAGACCTTAGGCATCTTTTACATGTTTAAAGTTATATCTGAGCAGCTACCGTATTGAAGGAATTCTCTAGTTATATAGTTAGTACATATCACTAAAATTCCTTTTTTTTTCTTAGAGTGGGAGTGTAGCTATATTTTAAAATCCTGTTGGGTATGTAAGCTAGTCTATAAATTTAATGCTTTTAGTATAAATCTAAGAATGTAGAATTTGTGTACTTACAGTAATACATAGGTTACTTTAAAGTGTATGTGTTTGTCTAACAGGCGCTTACAGCTTTTAGATGGGGAATATGAAGTAGCCATGCAGGAAATGGAAGAATGTCCAATAAGCAAGAAAAGAGCAACATGGGAGACTATTCTTGATGGGAAGGTATGGACTACTTAGAAGGCTGAGCACGTAATAGTCATGAACTCCCACTTTGATTGATGTTTTTTTTTCACCCAAATGCTAATTCATGTTGGAAGTAAGAGTCCTTTAAATATTTCAAAAAACACAAGTAAAATGACCTAGTTCAGAGTATTTAATGGAAGGCATTGTTCTTAAGAGCTAGATTGCCTGATTCAAATCTCTGCTGTCTTAGCTGTTTGGCATTTGGCAAGTGACCTATTTATGTCTCAGTTTTCTTATCTCTGTAAGATGAGGTATAGAATTGATGGATTAAATGAGATAAATAATAAAATACATTTAGCATTGTGCCTGGCATACAATAAGTGCTCAATAAATGATAACTGCTATTTTAAATCTCATTCATAGTAACAGCAGATAACATGTGATTAGTAATAAACTTATCAATAAATCTGTATAACTTAGATAAAGCATACTTAGTGATTTTTAATAAAGAATAATAGACAAACGTGTTTTGGGTAGGCAGATTCAGCAAAATGTGTGTCATTTATTTCTAAATAGATCAGTATAGGGCTTGGGATTTAGCTCAGCGGTTTCACTGCCTTCTGCACAAGCGCAAGGACCTGACTTCAATCCCTGGTACAAAAAAAAAAAAAAAAATCAGTATACCATTACAAACAGAATCTCAGAAATGTTATAAGCCTAAAAATTAATCTCAAATAAATCTAGTAATGTGTAATATTACTAAAGAAATTTTTGGAAAATTTACTTACCAGGGAGTAGAACATGCCATGAAGTTAAAAGAACTTAAACTGTATGGTATAATCATAAGACAGCCGCTGAAACATAGTCCTAAAGTAGTTTCATATATGTGTGAGATTGACTTTTTGATAAAAGGTGTTACTACAGGCCTGTGTGGGAAAGATAAACTACTCATTGTGACAACTGATCTCTAACCATTTGAAAATAAACTTAAACCAGGAGGATTATAAACATGAATAGAGAAATTAACATTCTATAACTTCAGAAAAAAATAGAGGTGAATGTTAATGAATTCTGTGGTGAGGAATATCTTTATAAGGATGATGCAAAAGCCAGAAAGCACGAAGTAAAGATTGCCTAATTTAAGTAGTGGTTTTTATACCACAAAAATCCAAGGTTAAAAATAGAAATGAGGCTGGTTCTATGGGCCAGGGATTTAGCTCTGGTTCCACTGCCTCTCTCGCAGGTGCAAGGTCCCGAGTTCAATCCCCAGTACCAAAAAAATAGAAATGAGACTGGTTCTGTGACCTGGTTAGCATGCTTTGAGTGTAATCCCCAACAAAATGTGATGGACTAGGTAAAAATATTTGTGGCACAAATAATGTGAGTTTTATAAAATAATAAGAAAAAGGTCAAAGTATGTTTCTGTGGTAGTGTGTATCCCTAGCATGCTTAACCTGGATTTAATCCCCAGCACCCCCTCCCCCTAAAAAGTAATAAGGAAAATGAATAAAGGACAATTGCAGTTCTTAGAACAAATATATGTGACCAATTCTAAGATAGCCAACCTTAGTTTTCAAAGATATACAAATAAAAGCAAAACTATTTTGGCTACTAGTTTGACAGAGATTAAAATGATTAACAGTTGGTAGTGTTAGGGATAGGAGGACGCGTACTCTCAAGTAATACTTGGTTGTGAGGATAGGTTGGTATAAGCTCACTGAAGGGCAGAACTGCCATATATAATACTAAAACTTTACATACGTAAATGTTAACTGTATCTCTATAATTTCAGTAGTAATTGAAAAAATGTAGGTAGTAAATCTCAATTTTTAAATTGTTGAAAAATTGGAAATATTTAAATCTAAAAAGGTGGTCATTAAAAAGGATGATAGTTTGACAAGATTGCTGTAATTTTTTTTTTGTGGTACAGGGGATTGAACTTGGGACCTTGCTCTTGCAAGGCAGGTGCAGTGTCACTGAGCTAAATCCCTGACCTGTGATTGCTATAATTTAATTTTCACTAAATTGTATATAATCTCCTTTTTCTAAAATTAATAGTAGTAATGGTTAATGCTAGGTGATGAGGTTTTATCCAATTTAATTTATTTATACCTATCTACAATGTTTTGATATTCTGCAGTTATTTTTATTTTGGTACCAGGAATCGAACTCAGGACCTTGAACTTGCCAGGCAGGCTCAGTGCTGCTAAGCTAAATCCTCAGCCTGCAGTTATTATTTTTATCATTTTTTTTTTTTTAGTTTTAAATTTCTTAAAAGTATGCTGAGTTAATTTATGAGAAAAATACTTCTATATATGGGTTATTTCCTAAGAAATTGCAAGAATATGAAATAGACACCCTTTTAAGTGAAAGGATACAGATACACTTCTTTGAAAAACTCTTCAGAAGTCTTTGAAATAAATGTCTTAAAACTACTAAACCAGGGAGGGGCCAGGGATTTAGCTCAGTGGTTTTGCCACCTGCAGTGCAACTGCAAGGACCCGAGTTCGATTCCCGGTGCCAAAAAGAAAAAGAAAAAAGCTTATTAAACTAGTGCTGGATTAATGAATAATTAGGTTTTGTTCTATTTTTTTTCCATTTTCAAAAATGTTGTAGCAAGTATACTTGTATCTTTTTTGTTTTGGAAGTTTTTGTTTTGTTTTTGGTACCAGGGATTGAACTCAGGATCTCGTGCTTGTGAGGCAGGTGGCAGAACCACTGAGCTAATAAATCCCTGGCCCTGGATGTTTTTGATTTTTTTTTTTGTACCGGGGATCGATCTTGGGGAAGGTTTTAAATAAGATACAGATTTACTGTATCAAAACCAGTTCATATAATCACACCTTTACCTTATTATAGTCTAAAATGAACATTTTGTTGTGGTGGTGGTAATGCTGAGAATCAAACCCAGGTCTCCTACACATGAGCTATATCCCTGGCCTTAAGTTGTAATTTTAAAAGGATTATTTGTAGTAAAGAAGTAGAAAGACTTTAGGCTTAAGTAGCAGTAAAATAAGAGCCCATTGAACATTTTTATAAGACATAATAGCATGAAAACAGTCTTTGAGAACATTATTGTATCTCCTGTATCTGGATTGGGAAGTAAAAATTGGAAGCAGGGAGATCACTTGAGATACTTACAGTAGTAAGGCAGTAAGAACTTATTTTTGTTGTAATCATTGAAAGAAGTGATGATCGTTATTTCAAAAAAGACTTGTTAATTATAAGATAAATGAAAGAAAAAAATAGTCAAATGTAATTCCAGAATTTTTAGTTTTAAAGTTAACGGTGTACCTGGGAAAATTTATTTTAGAGTAAATGATAATGGATTTGCTTCTAAATATATTTCTGTTCATGATTATATTGAGATCAACAAGTGGCAATATCCTCAGAAGCAAGTGGAGAAGTGAGTTTAGAGCTCAAATACAAAGATGAAGCTGGTCATGGTGGGGCACACCTGTAATTCTCTGCAAGCCTGAGGCCGAAGGAGCATAGGTTAAGCCTAGCCTGGGCAACTTGGAAGGCAAGCGTGGCACCACTGACTGAGCTAAATCCCTGGGCCAAATGTTATTTTTTTAAGGGGACATTTGCCTTTTTTTTTTTTGTACCAGGAATCAAACTCAGGATCTTGCACTTGCTAGGCAAGCATGGTACCACTGAGCTACATCCCTGGCCTAGCCTGGGCAACTTAGTGAGATTCTGTCTCAAAATTTAGAAAATGGGCTGGGGATGTAGTTAAGAGTACTGGATTCAGTCCTCAGTACAGCCAAAAAAGGGAGAGTATGTGAAACCAATTTGGGGGTCATCACCCTAATAGGTAAAATTTTGAATGAAGATGGGTGAAAGATTAGGCACATGGTGAAAGTTTAGCTAGCAATTACGGAGACAGAGAAGTTAACTTATAAGGGATTTCAAGTGGAGGAAGAGAGCAGAAATAATTTTGTTTCAAAATCAAAGAAGAGATGAAAGGGCAGGGCAGTCAATGTCAGTGAGCCTGAGAGAAATCAAAGAAAATTACTAATTGCTGAAACCACTCAGTTTGCAAACAAAAAAATAATTTGGTCATCTAAGAACAGAGGTTGCAAGCTAGCAGGCTTTAGGTACCATGCCTTTGCTTTGTTTTAAATACATTTTGAGCTGTATATGGTGGCACACCACTATAGAAGCAACTCAGAAAGCTGAGGTAGGAGAATGGCAAAGTCAAAGTCAGCCTGGGCAGCTTAGCAAGATCCTGTCTCAAAACTGTAAAAACTTTTTCATGCCTGTAATCCCAGGAGGCTGAAGCAGGAGGTTTACCGCGAGTTCAACTCCAGCCTTGGCTACATAGTGAGTTCAAGGCCAGGCTGAACTGCATAGCGAGATCTTGTCTCCAAAAGAAAAAAAAATGTCTTTTTCCAAAAAGGGCTGGGAATGTAGCTCAGTGATAGAACACCCCTGATTTCAATCCCTGGTGTTTCAGTTCTTGTTACTACAAAAGACATTTTGAATTGGTTAGTAACTTTTAAAATGAGGTTTCCATGAAAACTTTACTTTGGAGGGGTAGGGGGTTGCTGGGGATCAAACCCAGGCCCTCAGGATGCTAGGCAAGCATGGTACACTGAGCCACATTCTTAACCTAAATTTTAGACTTTTGTGGGGGTTTTTGGGGGGCCTACCTGGGATGGAACTCGAGACCTTGTGCTTGCGTTGCGAGGAAGGTGACGGAACCACTGAGCTAAACCCCTGGCCCCAATTTTAGACTTTTCTGAAAAGTTTGAAAATCTGGCTGTGTTGTGTCAGTGTTTCTACTTATCAATAATTCAGGTGTTGTTGATAAATGGCTGCCGCTGTAGATAGCCTGAGCTCTTTGGTAGTGTCTGCTGTTCCCTTCTTTATTTGCCTGGTTGATAATATCTGTTGGCTTTTGGATTTTTTAAGGAAAATGTATTGATTCAAGTAAAATCCACATGACTTATTTTTTTTTTAGTCCTATTGTTTCTTTCAATTCATTATATGAATTTCCATTTTTCATGTTTCTTATTATTTAGAGACTGCCTCCATTTGAAACATTTTCTCAGGGACCTACATTGCAGTTCACTCTTCGTTGGACAGGAGAAACCAGTGATAAGTCTACAGCTCCTGTTGCCAAGCCTCTGGCCACCAGAAATTCAGAGAGTCTCCATCAAGAAAACAAGCCTGGTTCAGTTAAACCTACACAAACTATTGGTAAAAAAAAAAATGCTATCAAAATAAAGGTTTTAGAATTAGAACTTTAGAATTTATACTTATTAATTTATTTCCATGTAATTATTCTTCAAAAAATTTTATTTGCCTTATTAATGGCCATGGTAAATTAGGGTTTTCTGATATTAGATATAAAATTTATGTTGAAGTATTGATAAATCTTTATCCAGAACTTTTGTGCCAGATATGTCTGGGTATTTCAGTTTTTCTTTATACTCTTGTGTTTAAGGGTTTGTATGTGTCTGTTTATGCCTGCCTTTGTGCATCCCATGTGTGTTTGGCAGTACCAGGGATTAAACCCAGGGCCCTCTTACTGAGCTGCATCTCTATCCCTTTTACTTTTGTTTTTTTTGGGGGTTTTCTTGGTACTGCAGATCAAACTCGGTACCTTCCACTTGTGAGGCAGGCAGCAGAACCACTGAGCTAAATCCCTAGCCATCCCTTTTAGTTTTTGAGACATGGTCTTGCTAAGTCACAAAGTTGCCCAGGTTAGGCTCAACTTGGATCCTCGTGCCTCACTGTTCCAGAGTGCTGAGATTACAGTTGTACTTACTATTGACTACTTTTTCTTTTTCTATTTATTGGTTACTGGACAGATTCTTCCACTTCTTAATTACTGAGAGTAATGCTTTATTGAACATAAGTACAAATATCTTTGAGATGCTTGTACTGGGAGTACTAGGATTACAGGCATGGGATACCACACCCAGTTTATATGCCATTTATTATACATCCAAGTGGGGCTTGTAGATGCATCTTAGCGTCAGTTTATAATAAATTTGTCACAAATTTAGGAGAACACGATTGGCTTTCAAATTTTTCATTTACAGCTATGAAGGGCTTCAGAACTGTACTTCATATAATTCATGTAATATTTTTAACATAAAACTGAATTAAATATTTTAATGTTTATACCATTGTAGGGCTGAAAGAGGTTCATCAAAACCTTGATTTTACAGGGTTCAATTTGGGAGTATACTTTTTGTTTGGTTTGTTTGTTTTTGGCACCGGGGATCGAACTTGGGACCTTCTGCTTGTGAAGCAAGCAGCAGAACCACTGAGCCAAATCCCCAGCCCTTGTTTTTTTGTTTTTGTTTTGTTTTGTTTTTTTAAGACAGGGTCTCACTATGCAGTTGAGGCTGGTCTTAAATTCACTGTGTGGCCCAGGCTAGCCTCCATCTTGAGAGGCAATTCTCCTGCCTCAGCCTCCCAAGTGCCAGAATTACAGGCATGTACCACCATGCCCAGCTTCTTTTTTTTTTTTTCTGCAGTAATCAGGATTGAATTCAGGACCTTGCACTTGCAAGGCAGGCGCAGCACGACTGAGCTGAATCCCTAGCCCCAATGCCCAGCTTTTTGAAGTACAGTTTTAAGAGGAAAACAATTTATAAATAGAGTAATAGATACCGAGGAAAGATTTCCCACATAAATGGTAGTCTGGATACATCTCAGTACTCTAAAAACAGTGAAATAAGTGAAAGAGTTGCAGAGAAACTAATGGGAAGGGGAGCAATTGTTGGAAAGAGCAGGGAAGGGGGGTTAGGGCATGAAGAAAAAAATAATTAAGATGTATTATGTACACATACCTATTCCCCATGGTAAATGTAATCATGTACTGCAAACAGGTAGTGCATAATTAAGAAAAAGCTCTACACCAAATAAATTGTGTATGTGAAATGGTTAATTATATAAAGATCTGAGTGTGGTGGGACACGCCCGTAATCCCAGCACTTCGGAGGCTGAGGCAGGAGGATTGCCTGGAATTTATGGCCAGCCTGGGCTACATAATGAGTTCAAGGTTAGCCTGAACTATACATAGTGAGACCCTGTCTCAAGAAACCAAAAGAAGAGAGGATTTAGCTCAGTGGTTCCGCTGCCTGCCTCGAAAGTGCAAGGTCCTGAGTTCGATCTCTAGTACCAAAAAGAAAAAAAGAAACCAAAAAAAGAAAAAAGTACATGTTCATTTTCCCTTAGGTCTGAAAGAAATACACCAAAATTGCCAATGGTGACCAATCTCTTAGATTTATAGTGATTTTAATACAGTCAATTTTACTTACTCTCTGATAAACCAGCACTCAGTGGATGCCTGCTCATGAATGGCCACTGGGAATACCAAGACCAATAAAAACAAATCTTAGGGCTGGGGATATGGGATGCACCTCAGTAGTAAAGCAAGGCCCTGAGTATGATCACTGTCAAAAACTCAATGATAACAACAGAAAATTACACTATGACCTCAAAGTGCTAAAAACCGTACAGTGTTACATGTAGTTAATTTTTTATGATAGCTTAAGACAAAGGTTTGTATTTTTGTGTTTTTTGAGACAGGGTCTGGCTGTGTAGCCCAGGTTGGCCTCGAACTTGGGACAATCCTCTTGTGTCAGCCTCCTGAGTGCTGAGATTACAGGCCTGTACCATGCCTGGCTAGGAGGTTTTTTTATAGGGAAAAAAGTGGGTCTGCTAGTTAGTTGGGGCTTTTTGTTGTTTTTTTTGGTACAAGGATCAAACTCGGGGGCTTGCACTGCTTGTGAGGCAGGCAGCAGCAGAACCACTGAGCTAAATCCCCAGCCTTACTAATTAGATTTTAACATTAATTATAGATTAGGGGAATTTTCTCTGTGATCATCAGTTTGGATCAGAATAAGTAGAATTCTGTGAAACTTTTAATTAATAATTTTGGCTAAATATTTTACTCTTTAGAAGCAAATAGTTTCATTAAATTTTTTTAAAAAGTATATATTTTCCAGCTGTTAAAGAAACATTGGCTGCAGATCTACAAACAAGAAAAGAAAAAGATATATCAAATGAAAACCGACAAAAATTAAGAATATTTTATCAGGTAAACATAATTGACCCTTCTGTTTTAAGTAATTACAAAATTAATTTGTTCTCTGTGTTATATCTGAAATCTTTTGGCATATTTAAGAGTAGCCCTGATTTGTTTTACCTTTTAAATTGTTTTAACTAATTTTAGAGATGATATTGAAACAAAATAACTTGAGGTGGAAAAGGTAGATTTGCTATTTTTTGTTTTTGTTTTTTAGTTCCTTTATAACAACAATACAAGACAACAGACTGAAGCAAGAGATGACCTGCATTGCCCTTGGTGCACTCTCAACTGCCGCAAACTGTATAGTTTACTCAAGCATCTTAAACTCTGCCATAGTAGATTTATTTTCAATTATGTTGTAAGTAGTTATCTTTTCTTACCAATAATATACATTAAATATAAGATGACTTGAAAGAATTGTACTTTGTGTGTTGATAGATTGCTTTACGCATGGATTACAGTGAATAATTCAGTTGACATATATTTGGAATAATATTTTCTTTCCGTACTGGGGATTGAACTCAGGGCCTTGCACTTGCCAGGCAGGCGCAGTGCCACTGAACTAAGTCCCCAGCCCCCTGGAATAGTAATTTAACATTTGTGTGCCGGGGATTTAGCTCAGTGGTTCTGGCGCCTGCCTTGTAAGCACAAGGTCCTGAGTTCGGAAAAAAAAAAAATTTTGTATAATATGCCTATACTGACTCATGTAATCCTTATACCAGGTCTTTGAAGTCAGGAATACTTTTCTTACTTGAGCTGAGGTAAGCAATTGTAGCCAGGTGTGGTGGCGCAGGCCTGTAATCTCAGCACTCGGGAGGCTGAGATAGGATTGCCACAAGTTCCAGGCCAGCCTTGGCTACCTAGTGAGTTCAAGGCCAGCCTGCACTACTTAACAAGACTCCCCAAAAAAGAAAGAAAAGGAATTGTATAAAGTCACCACATTAATAAAAAACACTATCATTGTTTTAATGCATACCTTTTTTTACTCCAGGTCTTCTGACTTCCTTTTCACCAGGATGTTGTTCCTGGTTTGTTTTAGTTGTCATAACATTGAGAACCCACAGTTGACTTTTTAATTAATTAAATTGGAGGGATTGGTATTTAGGGTTTGATAATTAGTATTTTCTTTTTTCTTAAAACCCTGCTATTTTTGTTACAGTATCATCCAAAAGGTGCTAGGATAGATGTTTCTATCAATGAATGTTATGATGGCTCCTATGCAGGAAATCCTCAGGATATTCATCGCCAACCTGGATTTGCTTTTAGTCGCAATGGACCAGTAAAGAGAACACCTATCACACATATTCTTGTGTGCAGGTAGGTAAAAGGTCATACAACAAAACATTTTCCTCTGGCTTTTCTGGATGACGTTAGAGGAACAGAGGAAAGCCAGACAGAGCTGCTGGGTAGAAAGAAATCATTAGGTAAGTCCCTGGATTGGAATGGTACCTTACATGCCTCAATCCTGTTCCTATAGGGCTTTTTCCATTCCCTTCTCCCCTTATCGAATCCAAGAGCACTGAACTATATTTATATTCCCCAGCCCCTCCCCCCTTTTTAAATTTTTTGAAACGGGGTCTTGCTATGTAATTTAGACCAGCCTCGAACTCACAGTGTAGCCCAGGTTGGCTTGGAATTCGTGACAGTTCGCCTGCTTCAGCCTTGCAGGTGCTGGAATTACAGGTGTGTGCTTCCATGCCCGGCTCCCTTTTTTTAAATTTATTTTTTCCTTTTTATTTTTTTATTGAGTTATTTTGAGACAGGTTCACACTGTGTTGCCTAGGCTGGCCTCAAACTTGAAATCCTGTTGCCTCAGGCTTCTGAATAGCTGGGATTACAAGCATACTGTACCACACCTGGTTTCTTTTCCATTTTCTCCCCAAGTTTTATCTGTTACTGTCGCTGCTGCTGCAGTGGTTAGTGATATTGAAGAACTCTCCCAGTAAAAGTTTCTGTGCACATGCCTTGGTAGGAACCGGCAAGAAAGGTATATATTGGGCCAGGAATTTAGCTCAGTGGTGTTGCCACCTGCCTCGCAAGCGCAAGAACCCGAGTTTGATCCCCGGTACCAAAAAAAAAGAGAAAGGTCTATATTCTATTTGGGTACTGTGAAGGATAAAGAATTCTATGATGGTCGTGCTCGCTTCGGCTGCACATAAACTAAGAATTCTATGATGGTATACTGTTAGTACCTAGTACCTCTTTCCAATAGGCTTTACAGTCAACAACAGTATATTTACAGCATCAGATTTGACTGCTGAGATTAAAGTTTTATCTTTGTAAAACAAAAAACAGGGCTGGGGATTTAGCTCAGTGGTTCCAGCGCCCGCCGCCCAAGTGCAAGGTCCTGAGTTCGATCCCCAGTACCAAAAAAAAAAATTTTTTTTGTAGTAGTTGTGTATGTGGAATAGTGTGGTTTTCTGCTTTGTACACATACGTGTGTTAGAGCACATAATTTTGACAGAAAATTTTTTTATGGTACTGCGGATTGAACCTTAGGGGCACTCTATCACTAAGCCACATCTCCAGTCCTCCTCGTCTGTCTCCTCTGTTCTTTCTCTCTCTCTCCTCCCGGACTCTGTCTCTCATCTTCTCAGCTTTCTTCCCCCTCTCTCTCTCCTCTTCTTCTCATTTTGAGACATGGTCTTACTAGATTGCCCAGGCTGGCCTCAAACTTAATACCCTTTTGTTTCAATATCTCAAGTGTGCCATTACACCTGGCCGTACAGAATGTTTACATGTGTATTTCTACTTTTATGTGCCTGAACTAGCACTTTTATGCCTTTTTATCATTTGTAACCTTTTCCTTTTTTTGGTAGTAGGAATTGAACTCAGGGCCTCAAGCTTGCCAGGCATGCGCTGCGCCACTCAACTATATTTCCAGCATTTTAAACCTTTATGTTTTTCTCTTTTCTGAGTTTATTTTTCACTCCCAGAAAGACAGTTTTATCTTTAAAACTTTAATTTTTGGGGGGTAGTGTGCGCCTATAATCTCAGCACCCGAGAGGCTGAGCCAGGAGGATTGCTGAAAGTTTGAGGTCACCCTAAACCACATAGTGAGACCCTGTCTGTCTGTCTGTCTGTCTGTCTCTCTCTCTCTCTCTCTCTCTCTCACACACACACACACACACACACACACACAGTTACTTTGGTGCTGTATGGTGGTTTTGTTTTGTTTGGAGATACAGACTTGTCATGTAGTTCAGGCTGACTTTGAACTTACTGTAGAGCAAAGGTTGGCCTCGAATTTATGGTGATTCTCATGCCTCAACCTCCTGAGTGCTGGGATTATAGGAGTGCACCACCCTCCCAGTTTAAATTTATGTGTAATACATCTGTTTCTCATATATAGAAAGAAAACAATTTGGGGAGAGAGTTGTTTCAAATACTATTGTGTAGTTAATTTTATTAAATGGCCATATTGTAAATTACCGTAGATCTAATACTTGTGTATTTGGATGGCATAGTTGTAGAGGCTTTATTATATCAACATTTCTTTTCAATAGACCAAAACGGACAAAAGCAAGCATGTCTGAATTTCTTGAATCTGAAGATGGAGAAGTGGAACAGCAGCGAACATATAGTAGTGGCCACAATCGTCTATATTTCCACAGTGACACCTGCTTACCTCTCCGTCCACAAGAAATGGAAGTAGACAGTGAAGATGAAAAAGATCCCGAATGGCTAAGAGAAAAAACAATTACTGTAATTAAATTATCTTCTTCATTACCATTATTCGCAGTGATCTTAGGATTTTATGATTAAATGAATTTTGTTTGAAAACATTTAACATGAACTAGACTTTACTAGAGTAAAAGAGCTCTTTTTCTAAATTACTGAATGCAGGGCCAGGGATTTAGCTCAGTGGCACCGCACCTGTCTGGCAAGCATAAGGCCCTGAGTTCGATCCCTGGTACCCCCCCATACCCCCTTAAAAAAAAGAGAATGCCTGCTTTGCTGGGCATGATGGCGCACGCCTGTATTCCCAGCACCAAGGCTTGGCAGGAGGATTGCCGAGAGTTCGAGGCCAGCCTGAGCTACAAAGGGAGACTCTGCCTCAAAAAACCAAAAATAAAAAAAATTTACTGAATCCAGGAATGCACAATTTTAATGATTGTGTCATTTGAAAAATTACAAAGTAAAGAAAAAATCAGATTATCTTAATATGAATTTGTATTGGGTATTTTCATTTTAGTATTTTACAGGTAATTTTCATAACTTAGGATTTCCTTTTTAAAATTGTTAAATATATTTGAGTTGATTTTAAGAAGTGTTGCCACTTCACTATTTTGAGTTGTTAAACATTCTATTTTTGATATTCTTAGTTTTCTTATAGAAATGCCTGTTATATTCTGTACTTAATAAGTTTCTTTTTGTTGGGTGTTTTGTTTTTAGCAAATTGAAGAATTTTCTGATGTTAATGAAGGGGAGAAAGAAGTGATGAAACTATGGAATCTCCATGTCATGAAGCATGGGTAGGGTGTTTCTAAATTAGTTTAAATTTTCATTATTATTTATGCTCATTTTGCTGTTTCACAATCTATAAATCTGCCTGTTAGAAGAATCTTATTTTAAATTCCATTAATGTAGATAGGTGTTCCAGATCTAACGCTAGACCAAACATACTTCAACTGCATAAAGAAAAACAGTGATGTTCAGAGAATGTAGAGAGAAAATGTTGGCTCCTATCTAACTGCAGGTTTTTAAACAGATTTTTTAAAGGTCTTGGGTTTCTTTCAGCACTTACATTAAACAAAAAAATGTACAGACAATAATTTCTAAATGCTTATTAGATTAATATATATCCTACCCCACCACCAGCCCCCTTTGAAAAAAGTTCTTACTGTGCTTGCTCAGGTTGGTTTTGAACTCTGGATCACAAGTTCCTCTTATTTTTTCTCTTTGTCAGGCAATGCAACATAATACCCCATTTGTTCCACACCTGGAACCTTTACCATAGCTTTTTTATTCTTTTTTTTTTTTTTTTTTTTTTGGTACCAGGGATCAAACTTGAAACCCTCTGCTTGCAAGGCAGGTGCTGGAACTACTGAGCTAAATTCCCAGCCCAAAGCTTTTTAAAAATATGCTTAGTTATTCAGAATAAAATATGTAGTTTTTCTGGTGGTACATTTGTTAAAATTTCATAGAGGTCAAGGTAGAACATTTCTTCTCTTGCCTTTCTAATAAAAAGTATGTTTTTTGTTTTGGGGGTTTTTTTTTTTTGTGGTACTCGGGATCGAACTCGGGACCTGGGACCTTATGCTTGCAAGGAAAAGTATATTCTTAACCATTGTTTTTCTTTTTTTTTGGTACTGGGGATCGAACTTGGGACCTTCTGTTTGCGAGGCAGGCGGTGGAACCACTGAGCTAAATCCCTGGCCCACCATTGTTTTTCTTGTATATCTTATTCCTTCTGCTATGTGACTATTTATCCGTCATTACTCATATTTTTATTTTCTGCTTCCTTTATTTTTTTTATTTTTTGGTACTGGGGATCGAACTTGGGACCTTCTGTTTGCGAGGCAGGCAGCGAAACCACGAAGCTAAATCCCCGGCCCCTTCTGCTTCCTTTATTATTAGATCCTCATTTATGACTTCTATAACATCCAAGGTTTTTCATTTATTTTAAGCTAATGTGTGTGCCTCTTTACTTTTTTTCTTCTTTTTCAGTTCTGAGGAATGAACCCAGTGCCTTCACACTGAACTATTTCTCTAGCCCTCTTTTATTTTGAGACAGGTTCAGTTGCCCAGGCTGGGTTCCAACATAGGATCCTTTTCCCCAGCTTCCCAGTCTTCTGGGTTTGTAGGGATGGGCTGCCATGTCCTGCTTAATCTGATTTTAAATTTCTAAAATGGTTTGCCTTTTCAGGCTATTGAATCTCTTTGAATGTAGTCATACTTACTACTTATTAAATGTATCATTTACTGGGTTTGGATATATAGTCTTTATTTACTGTTTTATAATGGTTACTACTACTGCATTTGGCAAATATGTTTTGTATCAGTATTAATGTTTTTTTTTTTAAATAGGTTTATTGCTGACAATCAAATGAATCATGCCTGTATGCTGTTTGTAGAAAATTATGGACAGAAAATAATTAAGAAGAATTTATGTCGAAATTTCATGCTTCATCTAGTCAGCATGCATGACTTTAATCTTATTAGCATAATGTCAATAGATAAAGCTGTTACCAAGCTCCGTGAAATGCAGCAAAAATTAGAAAAAGGAGAATCTGCTTCCCCTGCAAATGAAGAAATAACTGAGGAACAAAATGGGACAGCAAATGGATTTAGTGAAATTAACTCAAAAGAAAAAGCTTTGGAAACAGATGGTGTCTCAGGGGTTTCAAAACAGAGCAAAAAACAAAAACTCTGAAAAGCTCTAACCCCATATTATGGACAAACACTGAAATTGCATTCTAGGGAATTCGGCCTCTAAGAAGAGTTGTGCTTTTGTTTTTTCTTTTTAAATCATAGGTTCCAAACAGGCAATGTTAGATGAAGTAAATGATTTCAACAAGGATGTTTGAATCAGGCTTCTACTTCACTTCCTTATGCAGCATTACATGTGTATCAGTTTTATTGATGTTATTAAAACATTTTCTAGTTTGAGCATGAAAAGCAATATTTCAAAGAAAATACCTTTAACTGCAACAGTTGTCTTACAAATATATTAAATCTAGAAATTATTTCATAAATTGTAATGCTTTTTGCATTTATGATGGGCAGTTTTTCTATTTTGTAATTGTGAGACATTTTCTTGGGGAGGGAAAATTGGAATGTTATTTTTTTTTTAGAAATTGAAGATTTTGTCAAATTGTTGCATTACTACTTGCAATCAAACCTTGATCCTTGGTTTTTGAAATCATTTATCAATTTGGAATGAAAATTGCAATGTAAGATATACATTATATAAGTTAATTTTACAGTTTTAAAGTAGCACTTCTTCATCTTATGCCTGTTTGAGAAGATGTTCATCTTTTACATTGTTGTCAGTGAAGTGTCATGTTGGTTTATAGGGGTTAATGACCATTTGTTTTCATGTGGATTTTAGTGCATTGCTCATCCAGTGTTTTTTTTAAACTTGAACATTTTCTCATTTTGGGTTTTTTTTTTTTTCACTTAGGTAGTAACATGAAAAATTCAGCTGTACACATTTTTTCATTAGGATTCTAAATGAAAGAAAGAACAAGTTTGAGATTTTTAAGATGCCACTTTGAAAAGGGAGAGGGAGTGTTCTAAAAAATCAAACCAGAAAATGTTATACCTTTTTTTTTTTCGTTCCAAGGATGTTTTTGTAATGTATTACATGATTAGAATATCCAATACAGGTGAGCTGACTTGAATTATTTTGAGCAATTTTTCCCTGTGTTATGTGTTTTGCGCACATATTTGCGGTTGGATTTTCTCCAACAGAAAGCGGTTTCACTACTGGCACATTAATAAGCACCAATAAGTTTATTCCAACTCCAAGCACTGTGGTTGAGTAACATCACCTCAATTTTTTATTAGCCTTTAGAGATATTGCATTTTCATATTCTTTATTTATAAAGGATCAATGCTGCTGTAAATACAGGTATTTTTAATCTTTAAATTTCATTCCACCACCATGAGATGCAGTTCCCTATTTTGTTTAGTGAAGGGATATATGAGCTTTCTAATGGTGTTTTCAGAAATTTATAAGTGTAAATACTGATTTGATTGGTCTTTAAGATGTGTTTAACTGTGAGGCTATTTAACTAATAGTGTGGATGTGATTTGTCATCCAGTATTAAGTTCTTCGTCATTGATTTTGTGTTAAAAAAAAATAGGAAAGAGGGAAACTGCAGCTTTCATTACAGACTTCTTGATTGGTAAGCTCTACAAATGACAAGTTCCACTAAACTCTCATTTTGCCTCTGAGTAGTGGATTTTGAGCATTTCTCTTGGGCTTTAATTTGCTAAAGCTGTGCACATATGTAAAAAAAAATAGATTATTTTAGGGGAGATGTAGGTGTAGGATTATTGCTTATGTCATTTCTTAAGCAGTTATGCTCTTAATGCTTAAAAGAAGGCTAGCATTGTTTGCACAAAAGTTGGTGATTCCCTCCCCCAAATAGTAATGAAATTACTTCTGTTGAGTAAACTTTTTATGTCATCTTATAATAAAAGCTGAAAAAAATCCCTTTGTTTCTATTTATAAAAAAAATGCTTTTCTATATGTACCCTTAATAACAGATTTTGAAGAAATCATGTAAGATGGTAAAGCATTTGAATGGTACAGTAGATGTAAAAAAAAATTCAGTTTAAAAGAACGTTTGTTTTTACATTAAATGTTTATTTGAAATCAAATGATTTTGTACATAAAGTTCAATAATATAAAAAGCTGCATCCTGTTTTGTTTTTGGTCGTTGCTGTTATTGTTCATGAATGCCTGTACCAAAATTCTGTTTTAGCATAGTGAGAGTCCAGGAAAAGTACACTAACTTCAAATGATGAGTCAGAACTAATAAGTTTAAAAATTGCTGAAGTCCTGCTTTCATTGATTATAACTAGTATGTTACTTATGGTAATAAACAGTTTTAAATTTATAGTTCAGAATAGTATCAATAGAATATTAGTCAACCAAACAGCTATCCATCTTTGGTTGTGGATTTTCTTTCCCCTAGTACTAGGGATTAAACTCAGGGCCTTCACACTGAGTTATATCTTCAGCCCTTGAATTTTTTCATTTTAAAATTCTGAGACATTTTTGCCTAAGTTTCCCAGATAGGCATGCACCACCACATTCAGCTTCCATTTTCCTTTTAGTCCACTAGAAAATTAGAAATACAAATAAACCACTGCAGTAAAATGTCACATTTGTAATAAAATTGATGGTTCATCTTGATAAGCATTTTAGTAGAAACTGTTCTTTGATGATGTAATCTGATTTTTCTCCAGACTACCAATAGGCAGTAGGATATTTGGCAGTGCTGGCAGCCTTCTCTAGTCCAGCTGTGTGACCACAAAGGCTACTATGCAGTTTACTGTACTGCTCAACTGTCTGGTAGGTGAAGTAAATGATTTATTGGGACATAACCACATTGTAAGTGAAGAATCATTACACTACCTTCTGTAAGAGGTCAGTAGTTGTTGAGGCTAACTTCAGCAGTTGGAGGAAATGACAGAAGAGGGGACAATTCAGTCATTCTAGCTTTTATATTCCAGCAAAAGCACGTTGCTGTGTATTGGGAGCTGAATGTGGCTATGTGCTCCCCAAACTCGTATGTACATTTGTTGTATGCAATTTGCTCCATTTCATGAGACTCATTGACCGTACTATGGCTTTGGACTTAGGTATCTGTCGAGATATTGAGGGTTTTACGTGGTATCCTGAGGATCTGCATCTTTGAACAATAGGAAGTACGTAGTTTACTGAAAGATGTGGACAGTCCACTTTGTTTTAGGCCCATGTCTATAAGGAAAGTTTGAAAGGGAGAAGGTCCCTATAGGGAGCATTACTAGGATGCTACTAGAGTAATCCAGGTGAATTATCCCAACAATCAGAAGAGTGTCATGAAGTAATTGTTAACTGATGTTGCACTATGGGAGAATGAAGATGAATTCAAACATCAACTAAGCTCAGTTTGAAAAAGCAAGTGGTTATATCTTGTAGAATGGTGGCAATTTTAGAGTCAGATGATACAAAACAAGCTTAGTAACAGACTCCATCCCAAATTTAAAAAGGGCTGAGACACAGTTCAAAAGCCGTAGGTTCAGTCCCCAATACCTGGTCAAGGGGGAAAGACTCTGATAGACTGAGAAAGGTGAAAGTTTGTGATAACACTCTTGGCAAGAAATGTGGAAAGAGGCACTTAACCTTTCTGGCAGGAAAATAAACCAGTACAACTTTGAAAGAAAGCAATCTGGTAACTTTACTAAAGCCATAATGCACCTACTCTGCCTTAAGTCCACTTTTACTCATCCTATTTGAAAACTGGAGCAAGTACAAAATGACATTGCCAGACATGGTGGTGCAACCCTATAATCAGCACTTGGAAGCAGAGGCAGAAGGATCACAAGTTTGAGTCCTGCCTTGGGGAATTTATCAAGATCAAAAGGTCTGGCTGGGCTTGTCATCAGCTCAGTGCAAAGGCCCTGGGTTCAATCCTTAGTACTACAAAAACTGCTTCCAGGGAAGACAGCTGGGGAAAAGGAGAAAGGCTGTCCATTGTGCCTTTGGTATTATTTTTTTAAATAGGGTAGGTTCAAGAAGAGGGATGCTTCCTCACACTGGGTAGAATGGCCAGATGTCTAGCATAAAGCTGGAACACAGGAATTTAGATGAATTAAGTGAAACAGGAAGTTCATTGTCAAAACTAGTTTTCAGAACATTGAGTTTATATTTTCTGTTTGCTAAAGTAATCTAATAGTGTACTGCTCCTAGGAAAACGGAAATAAATAACCTGAGGTTTTATTACAAATACATTTTTTTTTGGTACCGGGGATCAAACTCAGGTCCTTGTGCTTCAGCAGCAGGCGGCGAAAGCACTGAGCTAAATCCCCGGCCCCTACAGATACATATTAAAGCAGTCCTATTAATGGTTTTCCCTGTTGACAGTAAAAAAATACCATGATGCAATTTCATCCTTATCTTTCCAGTCTTACCTCATGTATGCAGTGTCTTCAACAAGTAGATTACCAGTGTACACAAAGAATTTAAGTATATACCATGTACTCTGTTACTACCTTACAATTCAATTTCTAGAACTTATTACATTCCTTTTCTCTTTTGGTACCAGGGATCAAACTCTAGTCCTTCCACTTGTGAGGCAGGCAGCGGAACCACTGAGCTAAATCCCCGGCCCAACATTCCTATGTATTACTTCCTACAAGTGTAAGGTTGACTTGTATACAAGGACAAAAATTTACTCGGTTCTTAGACAATGTAAAAATGTTTAAATGTCTAGTGGGATGAATCAGGAAGAACAGGGCTGAATCTCTTGAACTACATTTTATCAATGTTCCATTTCTAACTACCATCCTATCCACAGCAAAGCTACAGGGGCTGCCTGCAGATACACCAACTCCAATTATCATAATTTGTGTCCAAGCTACTACACCCTTTTTCATAACCCAAATAGCTCTTGCAGCATGTAGCTCAGGCTGGCCTTGAACTCGAAGTGATTTCCTGGCTCAGCCTCCTGAGTGCTGGGATTGATTACAGGCCTGCACCACCACGCCTCACTATTTATTTATTTATTTTTTTTGGTACCAGTGATCTAACTCAGGAACTTGCGCTTATAAGGTAGGCACCAGAACCACTGAGCTAAATCCCCAGCCCTGCCTCACTATTTATTATCTGTGCATTGACCTTGTCCAAGTACAGGGAATAGGAAGTTGAGTAAGACCCAGATCCTGCTTCTAAGGTTCCCCAAGGGCTTACAGGTAAAAATTGCTGGGGCCAGGAATTTGGCTCTTGCAGGCCCAAGGTCCCGAGTTCAGTCCCCAGTACCAAAAAAAAAAAATTGCTGTAAGTTACTTCTTCCTTTTTCTGGCCCTAAATCAGGAAAGGTAGGATTCAAGGTATTTTGTCTTATAAAATGTATAAACAGCCGAGGATTTAGCTCAGTGGTTTCTCTGCCTACCGCGCAAGTGCAAGGACCCAAGTTCTATCCCCAGTACCAAAATATAAATAAACAAAAGAACATTTATAAACAAACCTGCCATCTACTGTCAGTTATTTTTTTTTAATGGTATGAGGATTGAACCTAGGGCCTCAAATATGCTATGGAAATGCTATAGCACTGATCTACATCTCTACCCCTTGTAAGCTTTACTTTATAGAAAGACAGTAGCAAAAAAAAAAAAAGGATAATTTCAGAATAAAGCACAGTCATTTAAGTAGAATAAATTTAGACTGCCAAAATATCACTATGGAAACTGTTACTTGCTTTGGAACAAGTTACTCCTAAATTGGCCTTCACAATAGAATCATCTAGTTTCTTCTTGTTTTTGATACTGGGGATCGAACCCGGGTCCTTGAGCTTTCAAGGCAGGAGGTGGAACCAATGAGCTAAATCCCCGATCCTCTGCTATTTTTTTTAAAGCTCTCAGGTGATTCTAATGTTTAGCCACCAGGGTGGGCAACAGCTGCTCTAGAAGATAGAAAACCTCTAGGAGGGCCGGGATTTAGCTCAGTGGTTCCGACGCCTGCCTCGCAAGCTCAAGGACCGGAGTTCAATCCCCAGTACCAAAAAAAAAAAAAAAGAAAAACCTCTAGGAATTCATCATCTAGTGGGGTTCAGAGCAGGTATCCCAAACTTGAGGGGTCAACAGTTAAATGAGTCACATAGCTGGTGTAAAACCAGCTTAAGACTAGGAACAGAGACTATGATCCCTGGCCCCAACCTAGAATTCTTAACCAGCTACTATCAAAGAAGTGTAGGACAGAATAAAGAAACTTTCAGAGCTCTCAAGAACTCTACCTCTGGGGCAGGCATTTAGCTCAGTGGTTTCATCGCCTGCTGCGCAAGCGCTAGGACCTGAGTTCGATCCCTGGTACCAAAAAAAAAACACAAAAAAAGAACTCTACCTCTGGGGTACCCTTTCCCAGAAAGGGCAGGAAGTGCTCCACTAAAACAAGGGAACAGGGATGCAGGTGTAGCTCAGTGGTAGAGTGCTTGCCTAACCTGTACAAGGCCCTAGGTTTTATCACCAGCATCCCCATAAATAAATAAAAGAGGAAGACAGAATGTTGGAAACATGCCAGGTGCAGTGGCACATGTCAAATCCTAGCTACTCTGGAGGCTAAAGCAGAAGGATCTCAAATTCAAAGTTAGTCTGGCCGGGGATTTAGCTCAGTGGTTCCACTGCCTGTCCTGCAAGCACAAGGACCGGAGTTCGATCCCCAGTACAAAACAAAAAAACAAAAGCAAAGTCAGTCTGGCCAGCTTTAGTGAGACCCTGTCTAAAGATAAAAAATTAAAAAGGGATAGGGGGTGTAGCTTGGTAAAGTGCCCCTAGGTTCAATCCCTAGCACTCAAAAAAAAAAGAAAAAAAAGATATGTAGGTATGTCCATGTCCCAAAATCTGATAGTAAATTTATTTGGGGAAAGAGTCTTTGATACATAAATGATTTAAGAATCTTGCAATGAGATCATCCCAGATTATCTGGGTAGCTCCAAAATCGAAGACAACTGTCACTCCTTGTAAGAGAGAGGAGAAGGCTATGTGAAGACAGATACAGAGACTGGAATTATGAGCCCAAAGTCAAGGAAGGTCCGGAGCCACCAGAAGCAGGCAAGGCAACATCTTCCCCTGGAGCCTTTGGAGTGAGCACAGTCCTGCCAACATCTTGACTTCAGATATCTAACCTTCTCAACTGTAAGACAATGAATTTC